GTCAATGGACGAGAAGACATTATAGAGTATTGCTGCAACTGCATTGTAGGACGTAGCACTGTAGGTTGTTACGCACATGTTATGACGTTAGTGTGCTACTTAGGTTGGGCCGGGCATGAAATCAACATTGTGCCTCCAGCGGCATTTTTAGATGAAGTGGTTGTACGAGAAGACATTGAATAAATAATAATAAATCAAATCCTGTTTTTTTTTTTTAAATAATTTCACTGTTCTTCCCAAAAAACATGTAGGTAGGTAGTTCTTTTCGTCATCTATTTATGTCGTGATGGCCCAGAAGTTACACCTCTGTGAATTCAAATCCGGGCAACTACCAATGTGTTATTCAATGCGTAGATATAATCAATAAAAGTCTGAAATCGCCAACCCATCTTATCCAAGCATACAACATTAATTCTCATGACTTCTGCTATATGACAAGAGGCCTTTGCACAGCAGTGGGGCAGTATCATGCTGGTATTAGGTATTATTTACTCGTTTTTGTCTGTTTATCAGACTTAGAGTTCGATGGTCAAAAGCGTCAACTGTCAAGCCGACCCCTGGGGTCTAGTCCGTATGGACGAAAGATTTTGACCGATAATTTAATGAACTATAAGATTTGATGATGATATTTCATTGAAGAGGGGTTTATTTCTGAGTGGTTGTAAGTCTCGGCGATTAAGAAACAATTTTATTTTAATTATCGTGTAGTTTTTTAGCTTATGACAGCTGTCAGATAAGGTCTGATAGCTGTCATAAGCTCAAAAACTTATTTACTTAATAGCATTTTTCCCTGGCCTCTAAATAAAAAGATGATAAGTTATTATTTCAATATAAACTAGAACTGCTAACCTGGGAAAGAGCGACGTACAACTGACCATGCGAGAAACAACTGACACCGAGATCTACTCCAGCAACACGAAAATTCTGCCCTTGAGCCTTATTAATTGTCATTGCATAACACAATGATACTGGGAATTGCGTTCTTTTAAATTGGAATGGAAAATTATTTGGTATTATGAGAATTCTGGAAATAAAGACGGTTTCTCCTGCACCGCAACCTGTTAAAATTTGAGCCTCGATTATATTTTGTTGCAACTGGGTTACCTTTAGCCGAGTTCCATTGCAAAGTTGTGGTGGTCTTAAATTTCGGAGCAGAATAAATGGAATGCCAATTTTTAAACAAATTTCATGAGAAGGAAGTCCGGGTATATTTAAAGAATTTAAAAATTCTATCGGGTAATTAGTCGCTTCTTGTTCATCGACCATTCTATTTATTGAACTATAAACTTTGCTTTCGCCCTGTATATTCGACAGTATTTTGTTATTAATCTCAGATGCCTGGTCATTGGGAGGAGTTAAAATGGATCTTTCGCATAGCCAAAAATTGTCCCTATTTAATGTAATTGTTACGTCACCGTAAACCGACGATATAAGATGTGGTTGGGATTGCACTATACAACGTAACTCAGGCGTCAGAATAAGTTTTCCTTGGTGTAGTTCTGGATAGGTACCTTCCTCAATCTTTAATAATTTATCAGAAAATTGACGATCATCCGGGTTACCTCCAGTTCTCACTCGCATGTTTATAGTCAAATGTACCGATTGTATATCACGCCACAAATAAGAGCTTTTTAGGCAAGCCCTAACCTCATCAGCTCGGGTTCCCCGTGGTATTACCGGTAAGGTTTGTCGGAAATCACCACAAAATAAAACCGTGATACCGCCCATTGGTCGATCGTTTTGTCTTATATCCCTTAAAGTTCAGTCTACCGCTTCTACTCCTTTTCGGTGGGCCATCGTACATTCATCCCATATGATTACACTCACGTAATACCTTAGCTTTGTCACTATTTCTTGAAATACTACAGGTTGGACTTTCCGTGGGATCTAAATCAATTGGTATTTTAAACATAGTGTGAGCAGTTTACCTCCTGGTAGCAATGTTGCAGCTATACCTGATGAAGCCACGGCAAGAGCAATTTTACGCTTATTTCGAACATAAGCTAATATTAATTTAGTCAAAAAGGTTTTCCCAGTTCCTTCAGGTGCATCTAAAAACCATATTGTTCCCAAATTATTCTGAACACTCTCGCACACGCGATCATAGACTGAACGTTGTTCTGCAGTCATCATTGGAACACCGTTTTCTAATGTTGCCAGCAGTTCCATTGAGTTGTAACCAATCTCTGCAGAATATTCCCTATTGGTAACCTCTCCGACTGAGTATGGTGTTGGCAAACCATATTCACAGAGTGATTTACCGCCTACTGCTGTTAAGTCTTCCTGAAGAGCTAATAAGCACAGATTTATGGCAAGATCACGGAAATTATCATTAGTTGCGCCTTCATCATTGTGAGATATATTCCGAAGAAAGTCTTCTGCAAATTTTTCTTTATATTTTTCCCATAATTGTACAGCATCTGACAAATTACAAAATGTGAGTAATGTTACAAATAAATGGCGTAACCGTCGTGGATTATCACTAACACAGGATTCTGCTAAAGCGTCATCCCAATGCTGATCATTTTCAAGCAAACGACCCGCTTGGCAAGCTGCATGATAAGTTGGATAAACAACATCGTCTACTTTTCTCAAAACTATAAATGTTGTTGGTCCTCGCACTGTATGTAATAATAATCGCAAATTACACTCAGCGTGGTCAGGATGAACGGTATACACTCTACCAAGAACATGTTCTTTGAAAATACCTGTCTCGCCATCTACAGGCCTGCCACGGCGTCTACGATTAAAGACACCTCGTTGTATTATCATCCCCAGGATGTTTCTCAATAATCCTACATAACAACCAACGACTTGGCGGTAAGTCGTCTTCTTTGACAAGCACAATGTCACCAACCCTTGGCTCAGCAACTTGGGACGACCATTTGTAGCGATGCATCAACGTTACAAGATATTCTTGTGACCAACGTTTCCAAGATGACTGAAGAATGCGTTGAATTAATTGCCAGCGAGATAAATAACTTATATTGGTATTTGTGTAATCAGTATCAGGAACATTTAATAATGGTTCTCCAATCAAAAAATGTCCCGGAGTTAATGGTAGTGGTTCTCCAGGATCATCAATGTTAATTGTGCTCATAGGTCGCGAATTTAAACACGCCTCTATTTGACTGAGGAGTGTCGTCAGTTCTTCAAAGGTGAGAGTCGCTTCACCGATTACTCGCTTCAAATGGAATTTTGTAGATTTCACTCCTGCCTCCCAAAGTCCACCAAAGTTGGGACTGTGAGGAGGAATAAAATGCCACTCTGTACCATTCGTTTCGAGGTGTTCGGCTATTGATGACTGAATAGCTGTCAACTGCTGTAACTCCCTGGAAGTTCCTACGAATGTAGTGCCATTGTCACTCCACAGTTTGGCACAATGACCTCGCCTTGAAACAAAGCATCTGAACGCCGCTAAAAAGGCTTGAGTGCTCATGTCACTCACTGCTTCTAAGTGCAGCGCTCGAGTGACCATGCATACAAAGACGAATACATAGCCCTTGTATGATCGATGGCCACGCCCTTTTGTTGTCCTTATGCTAATTGGACTAGCATAGTCAACCCCGCTATGAAGAAATGGTCGAGCTGGGTTGCAACGAACAGCTGGTAGAGAGCCCATGAATTGGTTTTTTGTACTGGCTCTTTGCCTGGCACATATGACACATTTGATGACATGATGTTTGACCAGATTTCTAACCCCAATAATCCAGTAGGCTGTTCTCAAATAGTTAATCATGAGCTGGAGACCCCCGTGGAGGGTTTTATGGTGAGCGTCAGCTATGATTAACTTAGTTAGGTGACTGGAGTGAGGCAGGACGATAGGATGTTTCATCTGTTCGCTGAGCTCTAACTTTTCCAGTCTTCCTCTAACTCTCATGATGTCCAATCATCAAGGTAAGGACAGAGTGTCCTTAATGGGCTTGATTTTAATTGTATATCGCCTTTGTTCTTTAATTCTTCATATTCTGTTTTAAATAGTTCTCTCTGTGTTTTTCTTATACAACTTTCGAGTGTAGCGTCTAATTCTGTCTTTTGTAAATATCCCTTTCTGTATATTTTGTTCTCCTTTAAAAATCTACGACAGTATGCAACAATCCTAACTAATCTTCGTAACTGAGAAAACCGATCAAAGAACGATTCGTTTGGAATTGTCGCTACATGTACCTTTGCTGACTCTTCTAAACCTGTAGTACAATTGTTGATATTTGGCCTATTGTAAACTACGTTTTGTAGCTTAAGAAACGGTGCAATAGGGTGAAATCTCCATCTTAAAACTGTGTGTCTCAAATCAGACTGCAATGTAGGTCCCACCATCAACGTGTCATTGAGTGCGACTCCATTGTTGTTCTTTTCGGAGGCGTTGAACACGACACGTACCTTCGAGGTAGTTTTGTCCTCCCGGATTACAGCATGGTGAGGTAAGTATACCGCTGCATCCCTATTCTTGTCCCTTTTATCTATCTTCCTCGTGTGTCCTAGTTGTAAATACTCTTCTATTACCTGCTTGTATCTTTCCTTTAAATCTACATCCCTTCCTAACCTTTTTTCTAAAGATTTAAATCTCTTTTCAGCGATAGCACGAGAGCCACAACCTTTACAAGATGGATTTTCTTCGCGGAAAGGTAATCTTACTACGTATCTTCCACTGACGTCGTTTATGGTAGTTTTACTATACATCTCTTCGCACTTCTTCTCCTCGGGTGTCAATATTTTCTTTGAACTATTTTGCTCTTCAATTTCCCAAAATCGTCTTAATAATTCGTCATCACTAAGTTGTGCATACAAGACATTAATTTTTGTTGAACTTTCCCTACTGACAGCGCCAGACAGGACCCATCCTAAGGTAGTGCTTTGAGCAATCAGCGTACCGGACGGGCTCTAAACAATACCTGCCTTAATAATGCAACTGTAAACATCAGCGCCCAACAAAACGTCTATCTTATTGGGCGTGTTGAACTCTGGATCTGCAAGCTGTAGCGTATTAACGCTTAACCAATCTAAAGTAGTAATACTTTGTATTCAGGTAAATATGACGTGATTTTGGTAAGTACGTAAGCGTTAACCGTAAGACTGAATACAGGATCTACTCGCGATTTTATATTTAAACGTACCATGTACGTTGCTTTGGTTAAACTATTGCCGCCAAGGCCCGAGATAGTTCCTTGGATCGGGAGTTTCTTCAGGTTGAGCAGCTGAACTACGGCCTCTGTAATAAAACATGCTTGCGAACCCTGATCGAGCAAGGCTCGGACCATCTGAAAGTCACCAGAGCGTGACTCGGCCTTTATTAGCGCTGTGGCTGATAAAACCTGTCGGGGCTTGGGAGTATTACCTATTGACAGACATGAAACAATCGGGCCAGCATTAGGTGAACTAACACTGTCGACAGTCGTTGCCGTCGAAGGTTGAGCCCTTTTGTCCGACTCCTGGCTAATAATATGCAGTAGTGAATGATGGCGCCTTTGACAAACCCTACATGTAGTGGGCTTTCTACATTCCGAAACCATGTGATTGCCGCCTAAACAGTTAAAACATATTTTATGTTTTATCACAAAATCACGGCGTGCTTCAACCGTCTGTTTTGAGAACTTCTTACAGAAACACAATTTGTGTCCTTCTAAGCAAAACTCACATCGCATTGATGAACTCGTAGTCAACATTGCCTTCGGAGAGTGAGCAATTGATGCTTTATTAATGTTGTTGCCCTGGTGAACTGGTACCCTTTTAGGATCTAAACATTCTAACGCACGAAACCGATTTTCTATAAAAGACTTAAATTGGCTGAAAGTTGGTAAGTCATTGCTGGAGTCATTGTTGCCAACAGTAAGCTCCCATTGCTTACGCGTCTCGTTATCCAATTTAAATGAAACTATGTGAATTATAATAACATCCCATGTGCTCACGTTAATACCCAAATTGTTCAACGCATTAAGACAGTCACAAGTGGTATCAAGTAACTCCTTCAGAGCTGTAGATGATTCCACCTGCATACGTTTTTGATTAAACAACCGTTTAAGAATACAATTTGTTAAATATTTCTTATTGTTATAACGCTTCTGTAATTGATTCCAGCACTGAATATAATTGGCATCAGTTACAGGTGTGTGGCGAATCAATTGTTCTGCTTCACCGGAAAGGTGGCTCTTTAGGTAATGAAGCCTTTGTACATTATCTAAAGATTCATTATTATGTACTAATGAGGTAAACAGATCGTGGAATGTTGTCCATTCATCATATTTTCCTGAGAATGTTGGAATGGATATTTTGGGCAACTTTACGAAAGAACTACTTGATTTATTAACGGTGCTAGAAGTATTGGCTTGATTTAGAGAATCTTTTGCTGGCCGAATTGTGTTAAGGGTAGTTTTCATTAAGCTTTTGTAAACAATATAAGTGTCCTCTGTAGCATCATAAATATCAACAACCCTTTGTGATATATCTTCTGCTTTGAAACGTTCGTATAACTTAGTATTATTTTCTTTAAACAATGCCCAATCCTTTTCTAATAATTCTTGTCTTGTTTCTACATACTCTATGGTTAACCTATCTTTACCACATTTTTTAAAATTAGTTAGTCCCTTTGTTATAACATTTTGTTGATCTTTTAATACATTAATTAATCCTTCCATTTTATTATTTATGTGATTTTGTAAATAAATAAAATGTGTCTAAATTGATTTCAATTTAATAATAATAATAATAATAATAATAATAATAATAATAATATAATTTATTTAGTTCTAAACAAAAACACAAATTAACATAACAAAATAAATTAATGCAATGGAACTAAAATGGCGTCTACTCAGCACAAATGTTATAGAAACCACATAGTGATAACTATAACGCTGATTTTCAGTAAACGCCAGAGACATAGGTGCAATAAAATAAACTTAGCCAATCACAGGCTCCAACATAAAAATAAAAAAAATACACTCTTATAAAATTTATAAATAATAATTTAAAAAAAAAACTTAACATTTAGGAAAGAAAGGCACAATAATAAGCCAACGCAAAAAAAAAACTGTAACAAAACAAAAAACAAAACATATGCAAGGCACAAGGCACACAATTAAATTATTTAATAAGATACAAAAATAAAATAAAATAAATGGAGAATTTAGCAAGTATTTTTATAATATACAAACATTCAATCAACATTCATAAGAAAGGTGTAATACATCGACACAGAACTAACTTTGCAAATTTAAAAGATATTCTTTTAGTTTTACTTTAAAAGTGCGAACTGTTCTGCTGCCCTTGATCGGAGGTGGTATATTATTCCAACACTTTGTGGCAGCATACCGAAAGCTACCACGAAACGCAGCCGTTCTGTGTCTTGGGTACAACAAGCGAACAGTTTCCCGTGAGAAACGTTGCGAGAAACTGATCTTCTCATATAAGTATTTCGGTTGTTGATTTTGTAATATTTTATAAAGTAAACAACTGTAGTGAACCGATCTACGAGATTTCATGTTAATAAGTTTGCTCTGATTTAAAAACGGTGTCACGTGACCTCTACGAGGGATTCGAAAACAGAACCTAGCGCATGCATTTTGTACTCGTTGTATTACGAGTTTGGTTCGCGCAAGCAAACACTCTCCCATGACAATATCAGCATAATTTAGCTTCGAGAGTATTAGTGACTCACAAAGTTGAATTCTCAATTCTTCACTTAGGTATTCCCGAATATTATATAATATTTTTAATCTGTAAAAACAATTTTTTACTGTATGCGTAACATGATTTTCAAACCTTAGTCTATTATCCATAATTATACCCAAGTTACGAACTTCGGATACCTGTTCAATATGGTTGCCACCAATAACAATTTTAGGCTTATGAGCATTCGTTCGTTCTATTAATTTCTTTGATCCCAAAATCATGAATTTGGTTTTATTTGAATTTAAGATGAGTTCATTATTATTCGCCCACTCAGCGATCATGCTTAAATCCAGATTTAGTTTGTTAACTGCCTCATTAGTATCATCCGGCCTAAATGATATGTAGACTTGAAGGTCGTCGGCATATAAATGCTACTGGCAATATTTAAAACAGCCCGTAATATCGGCACTGTAAAGGATAAACAGTAAAGGACCTAGAATAGACCCTTGTGGAACGCCACGAGTAACAGGAGACGCAACAGAAAAAATGTTGGTACCAGTTTCATTTTGAAGTCTGACGCGCTGTGTACGACCATTTAAATAACTTTCAAACCACTTTAATGCGTTACAGTCAAAACCATAATACATCAACTTCGACAGAAGTAAAGTAGTATCTATTGTGTCAAATGCACGCGAAAATTCCAGCAGTGTCAAAATTGTAGCCTCTCCTTTATCCTGCGCTGTTAGAATATCATCGACAACACTCAATAGCGCTGTAACCGTGCTTAGTCCAGCCCTAAAACCTGATTGTTTTAGAGGTAAAATGTTGTTCTGGTTTAGATATTCCATTAATTGCATATAAACAGCCTTTTCAGCGATTTTAGATAAAAAAGGTAGTATACTTATAGGTCGAAGATGATTTAGTTCTACAGGATGATTATTTTTTGGTATTGGAATTATAACAGCTTCCTTCCAGGTGTCTGGGAAAACTCCTGTCCGTATCGACGTATTAATAATGTTGGTTATAGCACTTAAAGTCCGTGGCAATGTTAAGACAACCATATCTTTAGTAATACCATCTACACCCATAGCATTTGTGGTAATATTTTTCAAAATTTCTAATACCAAGTTTTCATCCACTAATTTTAAAGTAAAAACCGACGAATTGAAACGGTTAGATTCAAAATAGCATAATGTTGAAGGACTTACACTATTGCTTCCTGGTATGTGTAGAAAATGATGATTTATGATGTCAGGATCATTCAAGTTTGATGGCAAATCAATATCTTTATTTTTGAAGTCTACCACATTTTTCTTTATATTTCTCCAAAGTACTTGAGGGTTTTTTGAATTGTTATTAATAAAGTAACGAAAGTAGGCTGTTTTTTCACTCAGTATAGCAGCATTAACAGTACTCTTCAGATCTTTATAATATTTTTTGTCACCTTTGGAATTTATGCCTTTACATTTGGCGTGAGCTTTATCTCTTAGCTTCATCATTTCCCTAATCGTTGGTGTAATCCACGGATAGCTATGGCCTTTAATGTAAGATGTTCTTATTGGTGCATGAATATCAAACAGATGCAATATTTGTGAGTTAAAAGCCGTTACAGAACTGTTTATGTCATCACAAAGCAACTCTTCCCACAGTACAGCATCAACATCAGAATTAAATTGTGGTACGTTTATATCCTTAATTGGTCTATAAGTAATATATGTTGACACTTGCTTTGGCTTCTTTACATTCAAATCACAAGATAGAAAAGCGTGATGACTCAGATCTGGCACATAGTCAACCTGTATATTAAATACATCACAGCTACTGCAAATCAAATCAAGTAAAGTTTCCAAGTGATCAGTAAAATGAGTAGCTTGTGTGACGTGCTGCCTCAGACCCATACACAGTAGAAAATCATTGAGCTTTTTTGAATTAGGATCTGAAGGTGCAAGCAAATTAATATTAAAATCTCCTAACAATACAATGTAGTCATAGGCTGAAAATGAACTGACTGTATCAGATAGATCATTTATAAAAGTATCAATGTGAAACCAAGGAGGACGATACGCGGTACCTATTGCAAGTTTCAAACCATTAGCTTTAACACTTAACCACATCTGTTCAATAGAGAGCGTACTCGGATGTTCCAGGACGCGAGCGTGGATACCATTTCTAATGTAAAAACCCACACCTCCTCCGCGTGCTCGGATGCTTGCAGGACGAGGTTTGTGTCGCAGCTTGTATCCTGGAGGGGAAGGTGCGCGCAGTTCCTCACCTGGCTTCAACCACGTTTCATTTATCGCCATAATATCTACCGCATGACGATCAAAGGAAACCAAAAATTCATCATGACGTGTACATAAAGAACCCGGATTCAGAAAGCCTAGAGATAGTTTTTTTTTACTAATAAATTGTATGAAAAAAGAGTATGTTATCTGAACATACTTGCAATGAAATAAATATTTTCGTAGTAAAGTCAGATGTCGCATATCCACAAATGAACGCATTGATAAATGCAATGATAATTTATGAAAACCAACGAACGTCTTGTAATATCCGAGTATATAGGCTATTCCTAGAACAGTTTTATTTAAAAATATTTTAAAGCACATTGTGGCATAGAAATTATCACTTAATATAAGACAATATAAAA